ATGGGGTGAAGAAGATATTAAGATCAAATGAGCAGTCCAGAACTTGAAAAGCAAACCCATAGTTATTAATAGTTTTTTAAATTGGCAAGCAATCGATTTTTAAATTGTCCTTTCACCCTTGTGTGTAATGCGGTTTGCCTCTCAGTGATAAATTAGCAGTAGCACTGTTCTGTGACTGTTTCCACAGGAAGATTCTCATTACCATTCAAGGGTTTTGCTGGCTCATCTGTGAATCGTGGACAGCATTTCGATTGCTGAAGTGAGGTCTAGAAACCAGAGAAAGGATAGCAAACAGAGTCTATAAAAAACTTTTCTTGAATTCTAAGATTGATCGGGTTCTCAAATAAGACTAAACTCTTTGGCCATGGTGTTACTATTTCTTATGTATCCCAGAGGAAGTGACAGTACATTCATCCCCTCTGTCCCTCTCTTTAAATCTCAGTATTCTTGTTAATCTGTCAGAAAAATAAGAACAGTAACATATAATGGACCGAATGTGCTTTTTTCTCAATTGAAGAGAACAGTTCCCTTAATCCCAGTAGCACTGGGCTGCGATCTAATGATTTGATCCAACTTTTATTATTCACCAGCATCTTCCAAGATAAATTACACTAGCAACCTATAAGAAGATCAAGTTAAGCATCTTCTCAGACAGATGCTTTTCAGTTACTACTCAAAACATAAATCAAATTTTTAGCTGCTATTTGGCATTTGTTTTATCTAGGTGTTGCTTAATCAGAGTTCTAGTTAGAACTGGTTGCAATTTTGTTTGTCAAAATAAACATTTTCAAACACTAAAGCTTTCGTGGAGCACATTGCTTTGCTGCCATTTCCAATGGGGTAGGTTCTGAATCTGAAATGCGTATTTGCAGGCAATGTCATGTGTAACTTCACAGGATTATGCTTTGGTAAAATGAAAAAAAAAATTAGATCTTCAAAGACTTCAAATCCCCATTAAACAGGATTTTGTTCTTCAGATAATTCTAGTTCTGACGATACTCCTTCTGCTTTGTTAAACATTGTTCCACTCTGCTCATTTTGCAAATACCTTGACACCACATTTAGTGTTCCTGAACAGTTTGGGTTGTGTGCAACACACAGCACATCACCTTCGAGAGCATGTGGTCTAACAAAACTTGTGACAATCGTTTTGCTACTCCTGGAATTTTCTCTTCTCTTTTTCCAGATTTAGAGTACGCACATCATTATTGGTTTTTACCTATGTTCAGCTTTGTATTGTTACCAGTCAACGAAGCACGTGAACTGAACTCATACGAGAGTTTAAGAATAAATGTTGTATTAAAATTCCAAGTATCTTAGAGGGTAAAAAGCTTTCTTAAGAGTAAAATTGCCTTGCAGAGTTAGTGTAATATAAAATAACTGAAAAATTGGAAGGTAACAAACTTTTTCATATGCACAGGCAATAGGTCACATAATAATGGGCTTAAACTTCAGCAGGGAAAATTTTAGTCAGACTTCAGGAAAAAAAAAATTAATCATGTGGTTAGTTAAGCACTAGAAGAGTGCGCCATCATTTAAATATTTTACAATGTGAATGGACAAGCATCTGTCAGGAATGGTTTAAGTAAACCTGATGGTGCTGTCAGGCAAAGGGATGGATTTGAGTGCCTCTCAAATATCCCCCTTTACTGTCTGTGCATCATTTTCTACTGAAGATGCCCACTGTCTGGATTTACCTAGCCTCTGACTGTTTCATAGACAGGTCTCTATAAAGAATGTTTTTGTCCCCAGTTCTTAAATGCTGCTCGTAGATATTGAGCTCTGTTTCCTCCTAGAGGAGCACAAGACCAAGTACAAGCTGATGTTCTCATGGTGGCATGACCCCAAGGAAGGCAAGCCAATGCCTGCACTAGCTGACCCTCTACTATTTATTACTGTATAGTTTCTCCACATGTAGTTTCACATAGACAGATACAGTCTGATGTTTTTGCATTAACAAGAACATGGACTGTTGTGGGTATCTGGAACAAAGGAGTTAATTTCTCAGCAAACTAATCAGGGGAAAAAGGCGTTTTGTCTACTGATATTACCTGACCACCTAAAGATTCAGCCAACACTTCGAGGAGTGGCACCACGATGCCGTTGATGGGACTGAAGGTAATTTCTTGGTTAAGTCAAGTCTTCCAAGTGTGTCTCCTTCCTTACCAGCATCTTTCTAGTATTGCCCAGATTTATTCAGCAGAAAATGTCATGAAGCCAAGTTGTCATTTCAGTAATGACAGTAGTTGCAGCTGTTGAGAGAGATGAGTGTCAGTGGCATGTTGCTAAATCTATCTGAACCCTTTGTATGTCATTTTTATTTACAGTGGCCTCAGAGAAATACTGAAAAGCAAATTATTTTTGATAGATACCTCCATAGCCTGCAAGTAAGAGAAAAAAGAAAGAAGCAGTACTACTGATGAGAACGGCTGTGACTACTGTAAGATGAAGCTACTACTGTCAGGTCACCTTCCTGTACGGATAGTTCTTTGTCGTAATACCAGACATCGCAAAGGCTCCTGAGATGTGCAGCCATACAAGAACAGAGATCTTACCCATGTCTACAGGACATACTGTAACATCCATATACAGCACAGTGGTTATGCCACATGCAGTTGGACCTTGGAGTTTACTAGTCACTTAGCTGTTTATTCAAGATAAGGGTTATGGAGCTCTGGAATGAGCTGAAGTTCACTTCAGAGTCAAGTTTGTAGAAGATTTTGAGAATCAAGTATTGGTTTGTTTGGGACTATTTCACTGTCAGTAGATTAGATGGGTATGTTCCCCTGAAGGAGCCGCTACTTGCTTCTGTTTGGCGGGGTACTCCAGAAAGTGTTGGTGGAGTGGTTGTGGCACTCTGCTGTCAAAGCAGCTCTCTCAACCCTTGGTCTGGTCTCACAGGGAAGCGATCCTAACTGTAAATTGGTATTGGTAACTTGAGCTGAGAAGCCGTAAGCAGCCGTTGCAGTGCTGCCCCATCTCTCCCTTGTATGCAAGAGGTTCCAACAACAGATGTGTTTCAGCAGTGCTAACAGGATGGGCCTAGAGAGTTCCTTGGACCTTTGCGCTTTTTAATCACTGATCTTAATCACTGATCACTGCTAGTGAAGAAGCAATTAAATATGAAAAGGATGATTCGGGGCCTCAGTCCTGTGTGATACTGAGCATGCCTGCACATTGTTATGCTCCAGCTGGTCCTAAGTCTGTGGCAGCTGAGGGCGCTTAGCACCTTGCAGGATCAAACCCTGGAGTGAAAAAAAAACCCAACTCTTTTAATCGATAATAGAGACGGAAAAAGTTGATTTATTATGAGTACTGATTGAATAGCTAGATTAAGAGTATCATAGAATCATAGAATCATTGAGGTTGGAAAAGACCTCTAAGATCATCGAGTCCAACCGTCAAATTGAGGACAAGATCAGAGAGATGAGGAAGCTTTCATTTCTTTGGGGATTGTTGCTATAGCACAGATTTTATTTACAGTCTCCTGCCAGAAAAATCTATTGACAATTGGTGTCAGTTTCTAGTGGACCACAGACTGCTCTGATAGCTGCAATTGCAATGAGGGATGTGACAAATCCACATGTTTGAGATGCACCGAGTGCCAAATACTAGAGTTGTTTCTCCCTGGCTAACAAGTACAGATGTGTGTTAGTGCGAGACAGGAGCTTGAAAGCAGTTACAGTAGCTACAAGATGAGTGGGAGAGATGAGAACTTAATACTGTCATTAAAAAGCAGCTGACAGCTCGGAGAACAGAGAAACGACACTCGCCAACACTGCGAGTGTCATGTTTTTAGTCTTACGATACTTTTTCTTTCATCGTTAAACAGCATTTACAGAAAGATATTTGGGTTGGGCTTTTAGGGTTTCTTTCCTTACAACTTACTCTATGCTTACTTTTATCATTCTCTGCTAGCTATATTAAAGTCATCTTTGTAACAACTACTTGTGACATCCAGAGGACATAATTACAACTGCAGCTGGGAATTAACAGCAGGAGTAATAAGCTCTTAAGACCAAACCTCACAGTTTTCATGGGAATGACTTGACAGTAATACATCAGGAAAAGAAAAATCAAGAAATAGAAAGAAGGTGATGTAAAACATAGGTATAAAGCAAAGCACTCCTAATAGCAGGAATAGAATTGGTGGGCAAATCCAAGTAGAATGATACCAAGAAAGATTCCTGGACCTAGTTCTTCACTGTGTTGTGGACAAGGAAGTAGTCATCACAGAAAGGACTATCATTCATTCTGGAAAAGGAGACTGCAATGCAAATTGTTGACTTTGGTGACTTTTTTGTAAAATTGTCCAGCAGAGATAAGAAAGCATTGGATGAGAAAGAGAAATCAAAGTAAAAGAGAGGATGTTGGACATACTCTACAGTGTCAGCTGCCATTGCACTGTTGTGATGGGAATAATCAAGTTGTTTATTGATAATGGAGGTGGCTTCTTAATGTATGTACCAGTAGAAGGATCTGAACACTAAAATTACAAAGCTACCCATCAGTCCTTTATGTGATCACACTTTTGGGTGTCGGTCTATACAACTGTGTAAAGTCAGAGTGAGAAAGCATTAGCTCCTGCTTTCACCCTCTGAGGTACTACTCCATTTTAAAAACATAAAGGCTCAGACCAGACTTCTGCCTGGCCCTGTGGCCATTCTCCGATAGTGGCCAACACCAACTATAGGGAGAAGTACAAGAATACTTAGTATTTTGCCCTCATTACTTTATAAAAACACTTGGCCTTCCCCCAGAAACTGCCGACAAATACTAAGTACAGCATACTAGCATTGCTATGAGATAGATAGGTATTATCAGACTGAGTTCTCTAAACCCATTTCCCATGTAAGACAATATGACACCCACTTTCAGTCAATACAAATTTGGGCTGAATATGGCATGTTATAAAAGGGTTTGTTTTAATTCAAGTTTGGCTTTTTCACAAAAGGAGTAGTAAGTCAATCTATTTAGATGTACAGAAAGGGAAACCATTAAACTCCATGGCAGAACTGGATTTATTTATAAGTTACGGAATCTGAAGTTATCTTTAAATACAAATAATATAGAAGCAAGCACAAAACTTGTTCCAAAGAAACAGGAGAATGACTAAGTGAACAAGGTCATGGTGGAATAGAAATCACTATTTTCTGTGATCATTCACTTACATTTAAAGTAAAACTAAGCCCTTAGCCCTGCAATTTACAATGCATAGAGAATCTGGAACTCTTGCCCAAAATTGTTGACAATCCCTTGTAAATTGTAAATCATATGGGCTTAGTTTTCAACACTATATTCACATAAAACAGGATAAAATATTTTCTAATATTGTTCATTCAGATGGCTTTTCCAGTGCTCCTGTGACCATATCAGAATGTTTAAGAGACCTGTGTGCCATATGTGAAAATATCTGAGTACATGATTACGCTGAATTTCATTCCAAAGAAGATCTATTCTCCAGGGACTTTCAGCTCAGCATGGGTAAAGAGGTAATCATGAAGACCAGGAGACTGTGTGAAGAGGTATCTCCCCTTTTCCTTAATTCCTGATTGATTTAGATGCTTTAATATCATATTGTTCATTTTCTTAAGCTCTTCTATGTTCTTCTTTTCAGATATTAGTCTGCTTGATATTTGGTCCATCTTGTTTCTAGTTTGAACTTGAAAAGGAAAATGTACCGCATTAAATTGGCAACATTTAAGTGAAGAGCATCACTACCCTCTCTTGCATTCCTGTGGGAGTTTGCAGGGAATTATGATGAGTAAAAATATTAAACAAGAAAACAACTGCAGAACCTAATGTTAAGAAGTTATGCATCTGGTGGAGTTACCTGCTCACTACATTCTTTAATTGCTTATTTTCTGTTTTATTCAGTTTAGTGCAGCGTAATAAAATCAAATACGGCTCAGACAATTTTTGCAGTCTTCAGGAGTGTATCTATTCCATTAGTGTCCACAGGAAAGTGTCTTATTTAGGAGCTCCAAGATGCTATTTCTGGGCAGTATGCACCTGTATTTTTCTAGAAGTACAATTACCAAAACACACAGCAGACTACAGCCAGATCACTTGATTTCCTAAAGCATTTAGATTAAAGGAAAATTCTTGCAAATATTGGCATTAAGAGGCCAGCTTTCTCTGGAACACCAATATGCAGTATCTGTCATGTACACTTCCGGAGCTATTTTTATTTTGGCCTTCTGAAGTTAACAAAATTTACCCATGAATTTTGAAGCTTAAGTCTAATAGTGCCAATGCTAAACAAATCTATGTCTATGGATTGCAAACGTAATCTGAGATTATGTTTGTAATGTAATCTGAAACACTGCTGGAAATCAGTTTCAAAAACCACAGGCCTCCACCAACCTGAGCCCAAGCAAACTCTTTTAATCCCTGTAAGTAGCCTTTTCACTATTACTTTACCATTTTTCCACTACAATGGCACATTACTCGTTTTTCTATACCAGGGCTCTACTTTTAGCAGCTCCCCGTTAAATAAATCTGGAATTCAAGTATGAGATATTTTAATTAGTGTTTTACAATCATGCCACTTAAAATTTCCTTTGTGCTCTTTACTTGTCTGATATTCTGTCCTTTGAGCCCTTGTGAGCAAATTCAGTCAAGGGTTAGGATTTCCTGTTCAAAAAGGAAAATGAGGATTTTTGCTATGCTCCAGTGAATTCCCTACTATAGGGTAAAAGAAATCTTGATTTCCAATAGATTCCAATTTGTTCAAAATGGAGTTGTAAGTTAAAATAATGCACCTCGTACTCTGTTCAATACCATTAGCCCAGAAAACCCCAAGATGGCAAGGGCTCCATAAACCAAGGTCACCTGTAGCCATGTGCTTAGCTAAGCCAGCCCGACCAGTCCAGCCAAAGCAGAACAGTAATTACATCTGCAGACTCAATGCTATGTGCCAATTTTGATACATCTTATCTGATTTTTTGTTTCTTATGTTTGAGATTTTCTCAGTTCCAAACCAATTTCCAGTCAGTACTTAGCTGGCAACCTTCAGGTCTTTCTTCAGGTAGCCTGATTTAAGTGTTAGCCTGGGTGTAATTCCATTTTCAGTGGAATGACACCAATACTGAGTTTTATCTGGAAAGGAACGGAAGGTGTGTTGTCAAGGTATCTCACTGCCATACAGTCATCTTTAAAATTTAATTTAATTTCCAATCAGCATTTTTAGCAACACAGTATAACCCTGCTGAGCTAAATTCTTGACAGCTGTTAAAGCTCACAAAACCTTTGCGCTAAGAACAAAATTGTGCCTTTTAGCTCAGAGAGTAGAGGCGGGGGGTTTATGACCAAGACCCACTGCCCATAACCAGACAAAGCCTTTGACCATGCAAATACAGCAGTAGCGTGTTATAAGGTAACATGATGCATTTCAGCAAAGTTCTTCTTCCAATTGACCCTACATTTTTAAGAACCACTGTTTGGTTTACTTACTTATTAAGAATATTACGAATGAAACAAGTGCCAAACTGACGATCAAAGTAAGAATAAAGGTGACGAACAAACACTGGTTTCTTATGTTGCTCCCTGCCGTATTTTCTCCAGTACCACCAGTGTTCTCTTCCTCATCTGTTACGAGATGACAAATCATTTGGTGATAAAGTTTGTTAAGGTTGGTTAGGATAGACATGACAAAATGCTTCTGACTCCATGAAATGTTGCAGAATACGTCATAATTTTGGCCAACAGATTTTATTTCCTGTGATATTGCATGAGAAGGGAAGAAACCAAATTTATGAGCTCAGCTTGAATTTGGAAATATGAAAACTAATACATCTGTTATAGCTGTTGGAGCATATTCGACAAAAATGTTTCTCTTGTTGACATACACTGTTTTGTTAAAGTTGACCTGCTTTACAGTTCAGTTTTCCAGCTCAGTTTTACACGTACAAAGGTTGCAATGAAGTTTTCATCAGAAGGCTTTCTAAGGGCCTGAATGGACTCAACCTTTTCAAAAGAGAAGAGAGAAAAATTCATATTGAAAACCCAGGTACAGAGTCATGCTACACATTCATCCTCTAGATTTGCTTCTTTTTCTGTTTGACGATAGCAGTATCCCTGGGATGATTAATTTCCCAAATTAAGCACCTCAGTTAAGCTCCTGATGTTGGATAGGATGAACGTAGGTCTTGACTTTTTATCTTAAAACAGATGTTTTTAATATTCTTCTTTAGGTTTTGTTGGTTTCATTCTCATAAAAAACGATGTACATATCCTCCCAAATTGTCAAAAATGGAAGACTCTCACATGGACTACATATGTTGTCCTTCAAGCACATGAAGAATGAGGGGAAAAAAGGGCAAGTAGTTGCTATGCTTCCTTTGAATCAGAGCAGCAAGCCAGTTTATTGCTTTTTGAAGACTATGTTGCATAAAGGGGAAAGTCAGTAGTTTCTCTCATAGAAACACTTGCAATCAAATGAGAGGTGGCAATAAGCCCTAGAGATAACGGGTAAAGTCAAGTGAACACCATGAGGAAATTCATGTGAATATAAAAAAAAATATATATATATATACACTTGAGCCAGATTTGTTTAATCCCCAGTTTGCATACTACTTCAACTACTTACTAAGGTTTGGTTTTATTTTATGTTTTGGGGGGAGCAGGGAGCTAATGTAATTTAATTTTGGTGTCAGTCTCATATGTGCTAAAATTACATGCAAATTACCGTAATTTCTCCTCCTATAATTGCTGTCTTGCCATTCTGAAAGGGAGAGTAGCATGTGCATCTGTGAAAAATATATTTCTAGATCGTGTTCTTGGTTTAGCTGGTAGAAATCTCTGAGGTCTTTGCAACTGAGCCTGTAGCGATAAAGCTGAGGGAAGGCTGCATATGCCATTACAGCACTTTAATAATGAACCAACCTGGGGCTGAGCAATTCACTGAGCTAGTAGGAGATCTCTGGGAATATCTCTGCTTTTCTTTATTGCATTTAACATGCTCCTGCCTGCGGGTAAGCTGAAAGCTTTTAATATTTGGGGTTTGGGATTTTATTTTTATTCCCTTAGCATTCATAACAAATGCATCGTATACTAAGTGCCTGCACCAATATTGCTTTCTAATCAGAATAATAAGGATGGGGAGAGCCTGCTACTGCTGTCTCTCAAGCATACTAAGCTATCAATAGAGGTCTCAGAAGTGGTCTGTGCTTGCTCCGCCTAATGAATGCTTCTTACTATTTCAGCTGGCTGAACATGCCAGACTGCAGTGTTGTGAGGAATCAGTGAACACAGATTCTTGCCAAGCTGCAAACAGTGGGACCATTTTATCATCTGAAGGATAAAGAAATCGCTGCATGGCTGCTACCAAAGCAATCAAAAGGTATATACATTTTAAATAGCTTTTAACATGGTTGCTATGTGTTTGATAATGCCAGGTCATATTAAGCTATTGAACAAAAGGATTGCTGTGTACTGCAACACTCTTGAAACATCATTTTTAAACCAAACTAGGCATCTGCTATACTACTAATAGATCATTCACAAGATTTTAGTATTTATCAGAAATTGAAAAATACTCTGCAGATCTCTCTGATTGTCTGGCAAGAGAACCAGAATTTTATGATGCTGAATAAGGCAGCTAAGGACTGTGAAAAATTCATTTTGTATATTTAACTGATGGCATAAGATATCTACAGAATCTCCAAGTTTAAAAAAAAAATGTATGCATGTTAAAAAGAATAATCCTAGAAGGAGCCAAAGCACTTTACAAATTGATGCATAAAATACATATTAGGCTACCTTTATTTACCGCTGAAATTTAGGGAGGAGCATGCATGTGGTTATTCCACAGAATCATACATGATTCTACAGAACCCTGTATATTTACCTGGAAAGTAAACAATACTGTCCAATAAAAATTACAAATGAAAGCAAGACAGTCACACCGCAAAGAGTTTCTTTGACATTAAAACCAATTTATCCCATTGTCTTATTTTGTACTTGTAGAAGTGACAATATCAAGATAATCTACATATGAAAATTAAGTAGCTATGTCTAACATCTTTGTGTTAAATCTAGAAACCAGCACCACTCTAGTTAGTTGCATTAGGAAAAGTTAGAGGACTCAGAAACAGAAGTAATGGAAAGGCATTTAAGTCCTATAACTAGAAGCATGATTAAGTTATGGCCATTTGAAACTCATTTAAACATAGCTGTTGTTCTATAGCTTTTCTTCAGTCAAATTTGCCATTATAGTAAGGGAAATAAAAGCAGATTCAAATATTGTCATGTGGAAAGCTGCTGAAGAACTCCAGGTTTTAAGATGTTTTTAGGACACAAAGAGCTCAAGTATATTGTAGCTATCACTGAGTGAAAATATTCTCATTGCCATGAGCAAATCAAAGATAAAAGCTGTATAAAACCAGTAGAAGTGTGAGAGCCCATATCTGAAACTGTAGGTAAAGAGAGTCTGCGAATTAAAATGCTTAAAAGTCTCATGGGATATTTCAGATAACTGGTTTGAGTCCTTAGGAAATATGTCTTAAAAGAATGAACAGAAATTCTCTGGTGTTTCTATTGCCACGTGTGAATTTTAGTGCTTGTGAAGAGTGACGATGCTATGTATGTAGTAGGTGTATATTGAGCATTACTAGAGAAATTATCCTGCAAGGGATCACCTCATGGATCCCAACGGAAATGGAAGATAAGTTCAGGCTTGACAGTGAATCCCTAGCCAAATGCAAAGATTTTCAAGAACCTAGTAACTGAAATACTCATCAGGAACAGCTAAACGATTAATCTGATCTGTCTAAATTATGCCATTTTCAATCTTTTTCTTATATTTTTCAGTACAGAGCTTGACATATACATATTGACCTGTTGGGCTGTTGACATCAGTGCAACACAATGTGGTCAGTCTTTTCAAATGTCATACATAACTCTTTTTTGGTGGCCTATTGTATAGAAAACCACAAAGCATCATCTATCGTACGTACCTAGCGAGTGTTGGGATCCATCTGGACAAACATTCAGTTTGTTTAGGTTGTTTAAGGAATCAACTACATAAAGTTTTCCTTCTTCATGAGTATCGGGCAGCTTAATTTCCAAGGAAGGCCTCTCCATTGTATCTAAAAGAAATAATAATTAAAAAGGTAAATTAAAACATGGGTACATGAAATAGCTGGTAACAGTGGGTGTCCTGTTCTAAGGAAATGCTGAGCAGTCTTAACAACCCTTAAAATAAAGGGATGTCAAGGACGAGCATACTTACTAGATCTTGAAGGCAAGGGTAACTCAGTACATAACACTTGTTTATTCTTGGAGATCTTTAATGAGTATAAGTTTTCATTTCTACATTGTGTTTGTGCACGTGTATACTTATACATACGTATATATATGAGTGTGTGGGGAGAAAGAGAAAAATCTATTCGACTGGCTCCAGCATTGATTTGAACATTAGTTATTTAGTTGTATAACCCTTTTGGTTTGGTGGGTACGTGGTAAGATGATGGGTGATATCCTGACCACAGTGAAAGCCAAACCTTCACTGACACCGCCAGGAAGGATGCCACTCAGATCCTCCGCTATCAGCATCAAATAATTCAGAGGAAAGACAGACAAAGCAGGTACGGCTGTAGAAGATAAGCAGCAAGAATATGGGTCTGCTTATACACCTTAGAGTATCACTGTGAAGTTATTATTTGTGAAAAATGGAGCAAAAAATAGTCTTCTAACGTGGTTCTACTCCACATAGATGCCAGTTTTGGAGAAATTAAAGCCTGATGGCAAAGCCTTTTCCTTGGACTAATACTCCTTGCTTTAAAAAAAAAGCACTGGATGGGGTCCCATCAGCAAAAACAGCTTCTCTGCAGAACCTGGGTGCATGAACTCATTGAATGATTGTTTATATAAATACAGTTATGAAGGAAGATTATATATAGAAAAGAAGCAATACCTAAGCGGGCTCCTCTATGAATTGCACATTATTCCTTAACAGTCTTTTCATTTTCTTTATGCTACCCTGACTCCAAAAACGTCTTCTAGAAACAAACTACAGTCCTAGCCATAAGGAGATGTAGATGCTTTAACCAGCCATCTTAGACTGCACTGGTCACTGAAAACTCCCTCTGTAATTATTGAAGAAACATATGCACCTCCAGCTAACATTCCTCTTATTCTAAGATACGTCTTTTTGACCTTACAATCGCAGCCTAAACGTACTAGTGAATATAGAAAAACACAACCTTACTAGTGAATATGGGGGGGGGGAGCTCACAGAGATTAGTTTAGACTTGGAGTCAAATACACCCTACCCATTTAGTATTTTATCAAAAGTGCAATTTTACCTGCCAAACATAACTCAGCACTTCATGGGATGCAAACCTCCTGTTGATGGAGAGTGTTAAGCACTGATTTCTGAATCCTAGATGGGTTGAATTGCCCTCTTGATGTGCCTCTGAGCCCTCTCTCCCTCTCTAAGCAACACACAGTGTGACCGGATTCCTAACCTAGCACTTATATTAAAAACCTAAAGTTTGAAGAATATAGCCCTGAGTGTTTACAGAAAAGACCCACCCTTTCCCTCGTCAAACCAGATGCAGAAGATGATTGTTGTAATTCGCCCAAATCTGAGCACACAGCCAAGTAAACATTCACTGAGCCTCAATAAGTCTGAAGACTAAGTGCTTCAATCACTCCTGACAATGGGGCTCATTCTCCTGATAGTGGGGATTGACAGGCCTGCATGTATACTTTTATATTTCTATTTAAGAGTGTAAGAAAAGATTACAGCTTATTTCTTCTCTGTTCAGAATTGTTGCTACAAAATATGAAGATAAGGTAGAAAAGCTGGCATAGTAGTGATTACCCTTACCTAGCGTATGATTTTTAGGTGTGCAGCAGTAATTTCAGGACAGATGGCTGCGTCCACTTTCCTTCCCCTAGAATGTCGCGTGGTGCCAGGCAGCACGGTCCGCGAGCCACGTCCCCACGAGCGCTGGCTCTGCTATCTCCCCACAAGCACATCCGTGGCCAACTGCAGTCGTTACAGAGCCCCACGTTTCAGCAACGGCGTGGTAAAGGTTACCACCTCGTGCACAGAGGCTTTTGGTTATTTTTAGCTTCCGAACAGCAGTTGTTTCTCTTGGGTATTTTGAGTAGTACCTCCCTGCAACTTCAGGGAAGATTCTTCTTAACAACTTGAGCTGTAATAAATGTGAGTACCTTTGATTCATTAATATTCTGAATTATATGTTTCTGCATTCATTATTAATTATTTAAAACCAATTTCCTCACCGTGCATGTAACCGCAGAGAAGATAACCATTATTAATTCAACAAAGTCTATATTACATTTGTTTGATTCCATTGACATGCCAAACAAAGGAGAGAAGATAGAGACATCAGTGTCGCTGGCCAAAAATATTACTTTCTCAACAAACTAATCTAAACATCGGGGTTTTGGGAGTCACTCTATCTTGTACTTTAACCTTGCTTAAAGACCTTTTTCCCCATGCGACTTTTAAATTTCTCCTTAAGTTGTTGTGGTAAAATTAGAACTTAGTGTGAGAACACACTGAAAATTCTTCATAGACAAAAGGAAACAATTAAGTCTAAAAGGAAATAAAACCCAGGAGAATTAAATGTTACTTACAACATAACCGCGTTCAGGTAATGTGCCAGTATGGAAGAAATCAGCCAGTGAAAATCACCCGAAGAAAACTCCTCTCTCTACTTTTAGACCCACAGGAACCTGTCAACTCCTGCAGGACCCATGAAGGCAGCTACGAAACAGACTGTCCCTTTCAATCTATATTTAGAGTTCACCTTGGCTAAGTATACTGACTTCACAATATTGATCTGTTTAAAAAGAAATCAGCACATACACAGCTCTTCTTATTACATTGGAATCATTATGACAACATCCTATCATGGAGAATGAGGTTTGTTACTGATGATCAGTATTTCACTAACCTTTTGGTTTATGATGCCTTTTTAAAGCTCATTTGCTATGCAGAAGAGTGATATCTGCAGCACTGTAGCTATGAGTAACCAGTTTGCTATGCAGAAGAGCCATACCTACAGTATTGCAGTCATAAGTACTTTAAAGGCATAGACTAGAAAAAACAGGGTATTTTCCTCCTTCTCCCACACACCTTACAAATTCAAGTGGGACAGTATTATGGGATGGACTAATTTGTCCGGCATCCTTAGCTGTTTAAAAAGTAAATTTTGATCAACTGTTTGTGAGTACTGGTAACTGCTCCTTTGCAGATAGTTCTTTTGATCGCTAGTTTTTTCTTGCTGACGTTGCAGAACGTAATGTTACAGCACGCTGGAATGGCAGGCAGCTGACCCTTACACAAAGGGACCACGGCTCAGAACAACAAATCCTTTCTGAAGCCATTCTACACGTCTGAAATTTTGAACCCCCTTAAACTGACAAGGAACATATTTTTCTTTCAGGAAACAACAGAGAGGATACATCTTCTGACTCACAGTTTCCCACCCCAAGCTGACAAGCTCTGCCACTGCCCAGCCCGAGTAGCTGGGCCAGTAATACAGACATAAGCTTCTTCCCTTTCTGCAGGGGTCTCCTAGAAGTCCTCCCTCCAAACAAGGATGTGCAAGCCAGAAAATAAACCTCACCTCCACCCCTGAAAGATTCCTGACACCATCCTAACTGGAAGACAAGGACCCAGGCCTCTCCAGTTCTAAGCTTGGAAAGATCTACAAACCCATCAGATCCCTGTAGGGCAGGAAAACAGCCCGTCTCCCCTCAAACAGCCTTGGAAACCATCCTGGTCCCTGTGGTCAGCAGCTACAGTGTAATGGGGGAAAAGGCAACCGCATGCTTGGCCACCTGCCAGGAGGGGCTGTAGAAAGCAATTGTGCAAAATACCAGCAGGACATGAAGCTATCAAGAGTGCTACTTTACACTAGCAGAACATGCCTAAAGTGACTACCCAGAAGCCACAGGAGAGACCAGCAAGCTTCTGGGAACAGTTTAGGTCAAAGGGGGCAACATCTTGGGCTGAGGCAAACACAGGTAGACAGCTTCATCTAATCTAGTTCAAGGATCAGAAGTTGTGTGTGTCCACTTGTGTGACAAACACTGACAACACACGCCAATAATAGCACAGATTCAAGTTGAAGGGCTTGCTGTAGTCTAAGTAATCAGTTTCATAAGCCAAACAAGTTCTTACATAATGCATTTTTTGAGAAAAAACATGTAAGTAAAAGGTACAACTAATTAGTATGTATGAACTTTCTGGAATAGGTTCTACTTTAATCTGAAACTAAAAAAAAAAAAACCAAAACAAACCAAACTTTCCCTTATCAGAGCAAGCAGTAGTTTTCAGGGTGTAGGGTGGGGTTTTTTTTGGGGGGTGTAAGGTTTACTTCCTCTGCTGATAACTTTACCTACAGTTTTAAGAATGCTTATTCTAAGAAGCACTTTAATTTACAGATCTTCTGGTTCAGAAGCTCCAGCTATCTAGGTTTTAATGTCTTTATTACCTAAAACCCCCATCATCCCTAAGACAGACAGTTCCCAGTTACTGGCACATTTCAGTCCTCTAGAGCCAGAAACCAAGGGTAGAGGAGTAGTTTTCAACATGATGAAAACAGGGCAGCTGGAATGGCTCCTGTAAGATAAGGGACAAGTACCAGAACTAGAAAACATTTGACCACTACAAAAGCAATGACAAATCAACAGTGCAGACCACATGTAAACAAGATAGACCTTCAAAACACAGCAAGGTAGTTTCATGTAGCATCTACTAAAGCATTGAGACTAACCCAACCACCTGTCTGAAGGGGCAAATAAACAAACCCATCTATTTCAACCTTTAGGTTTTGCTAGTGTTCCAGCTTTTCATTCATGTAGTAACCACTTTTACACAGAAAGCAAGCAGTGAGAAACATCTTTATTCCAAAAATTAAACATCCAATTTCAGAACATGAGAATCTTGTTTTTATTTTACATTGAGGCAAGTATTTGTCATTCACTGCTTCACTGTAAGTGAAGGTAATTGAACTTCATAGTCCCCTTCAGGATAAAGTCACACTGTAGAAATTTCTTTGTCCACCTGCCACTCAAGAGTTTAAAAAGTTACTAAAATAACTTCACACGAACAAGATTATCTCTTCATATCAGCACATTCTTACCAAAACGCTTAGTCAATGAATTAATTTAATTTACCTTTAGATAAAGTAAGGAATCCAATCCGACACACTGCATTTGACTACAGTTATCCACCCCATTTAACAGTTCAGTTACAATATAGTCAACCTTTGGAGCAAGTTGCATCTAATGCAAGTGTTATAATGTATCCCTGCACCCAATCTTACCTCCATCTATATACAGTGTATATGCAACTAAGCCACAACATGCATATTTACAGACTTTATACAACATCCCTGTGCACAAGTGCAAACTGTGACTACAGAAACTAAAAGATTCATTTAAAGGTTACAAATCTATTTTAATTATGAAAATTGAACCCCATGGAAAAGGAGATCTAGAAAAATTCCCCCACGTCTGCTCTTTTATCACGACATTTACTTCTAGCCTTTGTCCGAGCCTTGAATGCTGCAGAGTTGTACAAGTGCTACAAAACAAAAGGAAAAATTAATCACAGATGTTCAAAAGGCTTATGTTCTTTAGAGATTATTTTAAGAAACAGCTGAAGATATCTTTTTATTAATCTTTCAAGTAAATTGGTAGGCCTTCTGAAATTTATAGTACAGCATCTTTGCACCAAAGGCTGATTCATTTTAATACATATACATTTAAAAGAAACTTGGACTGTATAAGGCTGAGCTAGGAGCAATTCTAGAAGCCAGTCAGTCTGGAACATTACACAGACACAACGTAGATTAGGTTTGCCCCCTGGATTAAACTTGGTAGCACCATTCCACAAATGTTCATACACATGAGTACATTCACAAGCACCAGAACAAAGTCATCCTCCTAGTGTCTGTTTCACACTGGAGAGTTCGGGATACTGTCTTTATAAAGACGCCGTTTCTATGGTTTCCTGTAGGTAGGTCCCTACGCAAAAACCTACGGCTCTCATAAGAGCCCAAGTTTCACACGTATGGAGCATGGACCTGGTACCAATCAGCAACCAAGTCAACCTTCAGACCCCCTGGGGAGAAAAGCAGCGGCAGACACGTGCCCAGTGGAAAAACTAAAATAAGAGCTCAAAGATGCATACAAGCAAGGTTTGGTTTCAATGTGGGGCACTGTTAGAACTAAAGTGACAAGTTTAAAGACAACAGCTCCTAAAGTGCATGTTTGGAATACCATTTAATTCAGGAGAAATATATTAGTGTATGAAGTAAAGAAAATACATTAAGGTGCAATAACCTACCCTTTCAAAACGGGGTATCTTCATTGTTTTAAGAGTTGCAGCATCTAGCATTACCGGTGGACCAAGCTCAAACACATTCCGAAGAAAGTCATTTGACTAAACAAGAAACACATCAAATGATCAGTTTCTCCTCTGATTATCAAGTCTCCAAAGATGACTACTGTTAATTATCAAGTATTCCAATAAGAAATATCAGCAATTTGACACAAATCTTAGTATCTTTTGCAATTAAGCTAGGGAACGCTTCTTCCTTTAAACAGAATAAGGCTAAGAACTAAAACTGCCTTCTTGAGAAGACAGAGACAGCTCCTTCGTCCCCTGCATTGATTTTTTTTGTGTCCCAGCAAATTAGACACTGTTCTGTTACATCCTCTACACAAGATTAGGCAGCTGGACACAGATCCGTATGGTTTCACAACACACCAATTTTAAAATATCTGGCTGTAAAAGTAGTATTTGAAAAATCTGAAAAAGCTGCTACGTGCCTGGGATCCCTCAGTCACGTAGAAATGCAATTGACACTGGACTGAAGATTTTAACCCCACAATTATCATAGCAATTTGGGAGCGTATACTCCTAAGCTACAGCTCCCGCTTCTGCTATGTATCTAAACAGATGACTAGTGAACAAGCAGTTCCTAGAACAGAGATCAAGGACTTATCCCTTCCCTTCTGGAATGCTGTCATCATTGGGCTGCAAGTTGTGTTCATTATTTTTGACTAAAACTTTGCATTCCTTTTTACAGGCTTGAACAGGAAGGGTGGAGGCATGCAGCTTTACAGCAGCCAGATGACTACACCACTCTGCTGAAAGAGAGCATAAGAATTCGGGAAAAACCCTGAAGCTAAGATATTCAGCTTGAATCTCTTACTTCTTGGAGAAGTCTTCTAATTGCTAACCCAGCACACCCAGGCTGCAACTCAGAAGCAGCTCACCCAGACAGTTCCAGCTCACTGTTCGTTTTGTAAGTGCTGTCTTTTAACACTTCTAATGCAAAGCCCATCATTTCACCAAGTTCTACTCATGATTTTGTAATTCAGACTGAATTACTACAAAGAAGCCAGACAGGAAACAACAGTCGGAGTATGTATCAAACAGCAGCTCACCTGCAAATGATATTGCATCCCTGACCCCAGAATCTCCTTGAAGGTATCGTAAGTTTGCTTTTTCACCCAGCAGTCAATATACATGCGCTCAGGTCCAAACTTAACCATCTCTGTAGGAAAGTCACGCTCCTATCCAAAATTAAAAAGGAAACAACATATATAATTTTAATTTAAACAGTCTTTTGTATTAGGAGTTGTATGTAACTCAATGAACTTTATTTTCATTAATAAATTTGGCACACCAAAACCTTCCAAATAATATGCATATACTAAAGATTGTATTTGTTCATGAACTGATGCACACCTGAAGTTAAATCTCATGTAAGACTTGAAGCTGACATTCTTCAAGTCAGAAAGCATTTAAAAAAAGAACACTTAACTTTTATCTTTAAAATTACTTTAAAAATTGGACTTATCTCCAGAAAAACCAGTTCTGAGTGCAGGAGTCACCTTTAAGTCAGTTTGTAAGCCTCATTTAGTC